AACCTGAGGTCGGATGGGTCGACGCGGTGGAGCACCTCGTGCGGCGCAGGGCGACCCGTGCCACTTTGGGCTGCGTGGCTCTCGACCCCATCACGTCGGAGTCCGCGCCCAGTTGCCCTACAGTCGGGGCGTTGCCCTAAGGAACCCCAAATAAAGAACGAGACCCCTTGTTTCCCATAAATTCGGCAATTTCCCTAAATAAGGAACCCTGAAAAAGGAACGCTTTCCCATGGAAAACCGAAAGAAAACTTGAGGCAAACAGTTAAACCATCAAGGAACACCGAGCCCCTCCCCAACGAGAAGGGTTCCTTCTTCAGCGCCCCGACTGTAGGATCTGTAAGCAGGCGGTCCTAACTGCTTCGTCGCACCGCCATCTTGAGCTGGTAGGGGCGAGGTGGCATTGCCGGATCTGCGAGTGGTCCGCCCTGCGCGCGGACCTGGATGGGGTTCGCGAAATCCGAGTGTAGGCTTTAGTACTTTGCACAAGCTGGCGCGGTGTGCGTGCATCGATCGCCCTGGGGCGGGAGTGTCGTCGTCGCCGGGTCTCAGTGTGGGAGGGAAGGCACGGCAGCCGTCGCACGTCCTTTTGTATGTAGATCGATGCGATGTTTATTTCTGGTCCTCCTGTGGGTATGGGGACTGTTGTCTGTAGTCTCATGGTAAGGACTCTAACGGAAGAGTGTGGCCATCAGACGGCTAAAGGAGACCAGTATCTTAGACGAACTGCACGGGGTTTATGGCCCCACCCGAAGGGCACGCCCAGGAAAGTACAGGAGGCCTTGCACTGCCGGATGCTATTAGAGCGGTCGCTAGAGCTAATGCTCACGTGCGCGCGTGCGTGTGTATGTATAGCATAGCAGATGTTATAGTACACTTGCGTATTCTTCAGGCCGATGTCATGCCAGTCCTCCTCCTCCTCCTCCTCTTCCTCTTCCTCTTCCTCTTCCTCTTCCTCCTCCTCCCTCCGCCTCCGCCCACCTTCCCTCTTCGTGGCGGACGCGCTCAAAACGTGGCTGCCGTCCAGCCTCACGTTTTTCCCGTTTAAAATCCCCTTTTGCCATAGCCCGTCGTTGTTAGTACCCGCTATCGACGCTTTCGGTCGGCGCCCACCATCACCTTCTCCTCCTCATCCTTCCGCCTCCGCCTCCTCCTCCTCCTTCCTCCTCCTCCTCCTCCTTCTCCTCCTTCTCCTCCTCCTCCTCCTCCTCCTCCTCCTCCTCCTCCTCCTCCTCCTCCCCCTCCCCCTCCCCCTCCACCTCCCCCTCCCCTCCTCTCCTTTTCCTCCTCCTCATCACTTCGCCTCCTCCTCGATTTCCTCCATTTCCTCCTCCTCCTCCTCCTCCTCCTCCTCCTCCTCCTCCTCCTCCTCCTCCCTCTCTCTTCTCTTGGCAGGCGAAACGGGTGGGTGGAAAGGGGAGGGGGGTTGGAGAAAGGGGGGGGGCGTGAGGAGCTAGTCGCGTGCAGTTCTGCCTTGGCGCCACCGCCGGGCACCTTCCTCGATGCGCGGCCGCCTTCCTCGCGCGCCCACCTCCGGCGCTGGAAACGGCAGCCGCAGTGCCACCGAGTTGCTGTGCCCCCCGCTCGCCGGCCCCGCCCCTCCTGGCCCCCAAGGGGGTGGCGGATGCGGATTTACAGTCAACCCGCATAACAACCCTTGCAGCCTTGCCCCTTCGGCCCCTCCTTGGCCACTTTCGCTGGCCGAGCCCTCCTCGAAAAGACTGGAAATTGCCGTCCAAGGCCCTTGCATCCTTATCCTGCGTCCTTGCGATACGGGCCGACTGTATTTGGGCCCCAGGGGGCCCAAGCAGGTCCGTGTCCACCGCCCTCTGGGGTCCCGCGTCTCACCGAGCGCGTTGGCGACCTGCAGAATGCCTGCTCGCAAACGTCCGAGCAAAAAAAACGCGTCTTCCTAAGTGTAACGGACCGTAGATATCCCGCGGCAGGTCCAGGCCTTTTGCGAGTAGTTCCTCTGCGAGTATCGGAGCGCGCTTGTCTAATGCTTTCGTTTCCCCAGTCGGTGGATGAGTATGAACCTCCGCGCCGCGCCTCCGTTCGGCTCGCTCGGGTCGGTTGCGTCGCAGTCGCCTGCGCTGGTTGTCGTGTCGTCACCCTGTCGCTGCGCCTTTCGAGGCTTCCTGCGAGTCCTCGCTTGTCGGTACGGTCGTTTTTTCGGTTGTGCTGTCGTTGTGGGCGACATTGTAGCACCAGGGCGTACATCGTCACAAGCAAAGACTTGCGGTGGCCAGCTTTTTGTGCAGCCTACTCGCCGGTCTTTGAACTTAGGTATTTCTGGACTCCCAGATCCCTACTTCAAGAATCGATACGCTTTTGCTGTGTTTGGTTATTCTCTAGGAGGACCTTGACCCAGTCTACTTTGTCCGCCTTCCGACTTCATGATTCTACATACTTTCGGCCGACGTGTAGGCTGGAGAGGCGGTGTGATCTCCAGAAGGTTGCGCAGGGCGTGCCTGCAGTTTGTGCGCCCCTCGCACACTGCAGGTTTGATGGCGTCAGCTGTCGTTTTACGGGAAGGGAGGAGCGGCGAGTATGGAGCAAGGTCGGCGGCGGCGGCGGTGGGTGGAAGGGCGAGGGGGCAGGCAGAGGGAGGAGGAGTCGGAGCTGAGGGTGAGGGATTGGGTGAGCGATGGGGGGGAGGTGCAGCGGGCGAACGCGGAGGTGATGTGGAAGGGGAGAGGGCGGGAGGGGGGGTTGGGGGAGGAGGGAAAGAGAGAGAGAGAGAGATAGAGAGATAGGATGCGCCCGAGCGAGCGAGCGACAGAGAGAGAGAGAGAGGGAGAGGAATCTATCAAGATAGTACTATATCAAGATGGCCCGAAGCTGCCCGAAGCGGGCCCCGAGGCGGCCCAGGCGAGGCTCTGGACGGCCGAAGCGCGAGCCTTTCTGCGTTTGGCCCCAGTCCCGTCCGAACATCACTGGAACCGGGCCGAGATCGGGGCGGGCTTCTTGTTGGGGTCGAGTGAGCGGGGCTACGGCGGCCTCGAATTATGAGGCAGTGGAATCTGATCAGAGTGAGGGGGCCGAGCGGTCGTTCCTTGTCCCCGGGTGCGTGGCTGAAGTGGAGATCCGTAGTGGGGATTATGCTCGTTCTTCTTGTTGTTGTTGTTGTTGTTGCTGCTGCTGCTGCTGCTGCTGCTGCTGCTGCTGTTGTTGTTGTTGTTGTTGTTGTTGTTGTTGTTGTTGTTGTTGTTGAACATTATTACTTCTAAATAATAACTATTGTTGGGACCCCTGGTGCACGGCCCCCTCGCCGCGCCTAGGCCGCAGCCATGTTTTCATCATTTTCGTGAGGAAGTCTCCGGCAAAACGGGTTGGTCCGGATCCGGTTGTTTTGTTCCCCCCCGCTTTCCCTTGCAAGAAACTATATAAAATGACATTTCTTGTTCTAACATAACCACATTTTAAGAATCCATTGCAAAAAATGACACGAAGTGCACATCGCCGCGGCCGCCGCGCGCGCATGTCGAAATCCTTCCAAACACACTGTGATTTCAAACAATTTCAAGATGCGATGTCAAGGAAACATATGAAAACACACCACTTTCTCATCAACAAATTCTGAAAATCTGCCCCCGCGCGCATGCTGAATCCTTCCAAAACCAATCGTTTTTCAACATTCCTATCGAACGGGGCTTCGAGGGCAACTTTTGCGCTCACCTCGAAATGCTTCAACAACGTCTGCGCGCCTGCGAGGGCCACCATCCCTTGCAAAAAATGACACGCGGGGCACATGCGCGCGGCCGCCGCGCGCGCACCTCGAAATCCTGCCAAACACACGGTGATTTCAACAATTTCAAGATGCGATGTCAAGAAAACATATGAAAACACACCACTTTCTCATCCAAAAATTCCACCACAACAAGTCACTGTACCCATGCGCCAGTGTAGTAGCCACGGTCGTCCGCAGGCCACGAAGTGAAGTGTCCGAACGTCATAGGGCGGGAAGCTGGGTGTGGGTGGTGGCGAAGAGTCGTTTGGAAATTTGGTAGAGCTTGAACCGGCCCCCCCACAAAGTGGGGGTATTGGCCGGCGTCCTATGAAAACCCTGGCACTGGTGAGAACGGAGTGTCCCCACGTGCTAGTAATTGTTGTTGTTGTTGTTGTTGTTGTTGTTGTTGTTGTTGTTGTTGTTGTTGTTGTTGTTGTTGTTGTTGCTGTTGCTGTTGCTGTTGCTGTTGCTGTTGCTGCTGTTGTTGTTGTTGTTGTTGTTGTTGTTGTTGTTGTTGTTGTTGTTGTTGTGGTTGTTGTGGTCGTCGTCGTCGTCGTCGTCGTCGTCGTCGTCGTCGTCGTCGTCGTCGTCCCCGCGACCCGCCAGAGGGATAGCGGAGGAAGGTAGAGGAGGGAGGGGCAGGAGCGCGGGGGTAGTAAGGAGTGCGGCAGAGATGACATGGGGTGGGGGGTCAGGGGGAGGGGCGAGGTGAGAGAGGGAGTAGGGGAAGGGAGGGAGGGGGAGTGGGATGATTAGGAACATGATAGCGCTGACGCCCTTCCCCCTCCACCCCTTCTTTCTACTCCTCCCTCCCACTCCCTCTCCCCCATCCAGCCCCCTTTCTCCTCCCCCCTCTCCCCCTATCCTCTCTCTCCCCTCCTGCTCATCCTCCTGGTCGTCCGCCAGCTCCACCTCCAACGTACGCAGCTCATTCTTGTTTTTCCATTTCGCAAAACACGGCGGGTCCTCTTCGGAGTTCCGTGTCCGCTATGACACGCGTCGAGTGACAGCGACAAAAACAGCGCAATGGGGAGGGATGGGTGGGAGGGGTCGGATGCCAGGTATGGTGCGAGCGTGCATCGCCTGTCCCCTAGCCCCTCTCTCCCCCTCTCCAGCCCCTGTCCCCCCCCCCCCGCTCTGGGCCCCTTTCTCCCCCTCTTGGTCCTCTTTCTCCCTCCTCCCTCCCCCTCCTCCCCTCCCCTCCCCCCGCCCTCCCCCCCTGCTTCTTGAGGGGCGCCAGGAGGGGGGGGGCACCATCATGTACCGTACGCAGGTGGCCGAGGCGGTGCAGGCGTTCTGCCGGCGGTACCCGGTCGACGAGTCCGCGTACAACTACCTGGTGATGTCGCCCCTGCAGGTGCAGGACCAGGCGGCGGGGTGGGTTGAACCACCTTCAGAGCCCCGAATCATCAGGGGTAACTCGGGTCAGGGCTAACTCGGGTTCGCCTTTTCGGGATTCCGAGCCCGAGTTACCCCGGACCCGAGTTACCCCGGATAACTCGGGCGCCCAAGCGGGGTGGGTTGAACCACCTTCCGAAGGACAGCCAGTTCGAGGGAGGGAAAGAACACACCCCGCCCCCGACAGCTGGCGTTTACTAAAATCGGCCCTGCGCGTTTACCAGAGCCCTGGGTTGCAATGTAAGAGGAAGTGTGTGTGTGTGTGTGTGTGTGTGTGTTCCTCCTCCCCCTCGGGGAACGAATGAGGACATACATATAAACTGTAAGAGATCCGCGCGGATCTCTCGGATTGGCGCTGGAACCCACTGGCGGCGCTTTGGCGCCGCCTCTGGCGCGCTCCACGCGCCAGGGATGGACGTCCAGCGCAGATCCAAGACATCCGCGCGGACCTCCAAAAGTTTCTGTTTATGCACCACTACCTTTCGAAGAACAGCCAACTCGAGGGAGGAAAGGACACCCCGACTCTGACAATGGGCGTTTACTAGCCGGCCCTGGACGTTTACCAAACAGCCCTGCCCGGTTCGATTTTTTCAATGGTGCGTTTACTAGACTCTTTCGCTTGTCGGGGTGCTTATTCTGGGGGTGGATTTTCTGCTCTCTACCGGCGGCATAGGTTTGAACGTTCGGAGCTCAGTGCGGATTTCTTGGATCGGCGCAGGGGCGCCCTTGCGGCGCCTCCGGCGCCGCCCCTGGTGCGCTCCGCGCGCCAGGGAGGGGGTCCAGCACCGAGCTAAGAAACCCGCGCAGAGCCTCGATCCGATAGTTCACGTTTATGCAGTTTCCTTCGTTTGTTCGCTGCTCGACCGCGACAAGAAGGGGTGTGGGGGGGTAAGTGAGGAGGCTCCTCACGAAGGCGTGCGGGCACCAGGCGAAGAAGCACCTGGACACTCGCCAGTCAGTCAAGTAAGCTGCGCTGCCGAGCGCAATTTCCGCCATCGCGCTCGGGTGGGCGCGCGGGGAGGCGGAGGGCCTTGGGGGGAGGGGAAGGGAGGGCTCATTTCGATTCCTCCGATTCGATTCGATTCGATTCGACTTCGATGGCTTCCGATTCCCATTCGATTCGACTTGATATTCCGATTTGGGCTCCGATTTCGTTTTGGAGGCGTACTAGCCTGCCGATTTCCGCCGATTCGACTTTTCCCGACTCGGCTGCCGATTTCCGCCGACCCGATTCATTTCGACTGCCGATCCGACTTATCGATTCGAATCCAGGCTCTCCTGCGGGGGATGAGGGGAGGGGCCACGGATCGCCCTTCCCCTCGCCAAATAGTCAATCAGGGTTCGCTGCCGAGCTCAATTCCGCCATCGCGCTCGGGCGGGCGCGCGGGGGGGCGGAGGGTCTTGGGGGGGAGGGGGGGGGGATGAGGGGAGGGGCCACGGATCTCTCTTCCCCTCGCCACGTAGTCAATTCAGCTGCGCTGCCGAGGTCGATTCCGCCATCGCGCTCGGGCGGGCGCGGTGGGGGCGGAGGGCCCTGAGGGGAGGGGGGGGGATGAGGGGAGGGGCAACGGATCTCCCTTCCCAGGCTCTGTGTCTGAGGCTATCGTCTGACTCGAAGGACAATCGCGCAGGGAGTTGGTCACACTGGTGAGCGTATCTTGGGCTCACTGCGTGCTCCGCAGAAGTTGCAAGGGCCCGACGCACACCAACCGGTGCAAGCGCGGTGGCGGATGTTTTTCAGAAACGCAAGCGACAACCCATGTAGTGCAAACACTTTCTTGCTTTCTTTTTGGCATCCAGGAGGCTTCTCATGGATTTCCTTCGAACATCTGATCCGAACACAGCCCAGGGTAGTTCCAGAGGGGCAGATCTTGGAGGGTGGAGGAGGGGTAGGATGACGCGGCGGAATGAGGATGGGGAAGAGGAGGAGGTGCCTCTCTCACATCTTCCTATCTCCCTTTCTCTTTCTCTCTCTCTCTCTCTTTCTGTCCCTCTTCTTTGGTCTCACTTAAGCTGTGTCCACCTCAGCTTGCTTTAGTGTTCTGCTCGTCTTGACCTTCTCTGTTGCGATTTGCGATTTGCGAGGGGGATGAGGGGGTGCCCGGGGCGCCTCCCGCCCCCCCCCCCACAGAGCCCCCCCTCCGGGAGGTGGTGCGCGAGTTCCGCCCGCGCTCGGAGGGCGCGGGCGACTACTCCGCCCTCGTCATCCCGGGCGCTGGCTGAGGCGCACCCGTCAGCCTCGGGGGCCCCCGAGTCGGCGGCGAAATCCGAACCCTAACCTCG